GGTCCTCCTCTGAAGAGCCCTGGCATCAGGATGCTGCCTCTCAACTTCCCCCTGCCCTCCCCTGGCTCCGCCCCACCTGCTACCTCAGTAACCCCCACCAGCCCAGTCACCTCTCCTGTAACTGAAAGCCCCGCCTCTTTCGAGGATCCTGCCACTGTGGCGGAGGGATCGGTCCTGCAGAGCATCAACAAGGTGAGACCCCTCCAAGGCTGTGATGCATTCAGTGACCTGTAAATCCCGGCGCCGGCCAGCCTAAACACTCAGTTGATCACCCTTTGGTTCTCCTCCAGGGCAGAGCTCGCCACTCCATCCGCCGCCGTCCGCCATCACGCCGCCACAGGACATCCAGCAGCGGAGAGGTGGAGGCCAAAGACGCAGCAGACACACAGGTGAGCTCCACAACTGACCCCGCTGACAAAACTGCAGCAGGCGGCGAGCAGGACGGCGAGCAGGGCGGCGAGGGTGACGTGTTCAAGAAGGAGGATCAAACAGACGCCCCAACAGCTCCTGAGAAAAAACAAACTCACGAAGAGGAAGAGCCGAAGAGCGGCGACGGTGATGTGAAGGAGGGAGAGAAAGGGTCTGCAGAAGAAGAGGAGGCACCATCATCATCAGAGAAGAAGGAGGAGGAGCTGAGGTCGCCAGAGACGCAGAAACAGGACCCGACCGAAGACGCTACACTGACAGACGGCAAAGAAGAAGAACAGAGCGAGGTAAAGTACTGTTCTCCATCAGTGCAATACTCTGTGTACTCTGTGTACTCTGTGTACATGTACTTCAAACTGCAACGTTTCCCCCGCAGGAGGCAGCGAGCTCAGCCCGATGACGACCACGCGGAGCCCCTGGAGTGCTGGGAGAGAAACCCCGTATCAGCTACACCTGACTGAAGAGGCCTGCAGACGCTCTGGAGGCGAATATTTAGAAACTCTGAGGCGCTGCTCGCCATCTGCGAATGAGCGAAGACGCTCGGCCAATCGTGCAACGGTCCAGCCAAGCTTGTTCGCTTCTGTCCACTCAACGCCTTTCCACACCACAACACTTCCTGTTCAGCCATATATACTGTGACCTGTCTGTTCTTACTGTGTGCTGCCTTCCATGATGATGATGATGATGATGATGATGATGATGATGATGATGATGATGA